TCATGCGTTTTGGATAACAATGTTAAGGATTACTTTTTCTTTGTCCCTTCAGTGAATTCTTTTTGTCACTTTTTTTCTCCCCTTCTTTTTCTTTCCAGGGGGTTCAGATTCCAGGATTTGGAACTTTCACTTTCACAAGACAAAAAATTGAGGTGGGAAACAACAAGTTTATTCTAATCCAGAGGCCCGTGTTTATTATGACGGAGAAATTAGTGCAGATCCATGGACTCAAACAAAACAAAGTATATACTCCTGGTAAATAATTTTAATATTTAAGATTTTGCCAAAGTTACCAGCCTGGGGATAGAAATGAAAAGGCAAAGATTAGCCAGTGCTGCTTTATTAGTTTCTGATTGGAGGGCTCACTTTTCATTTGGTACCCTTGGCAGAGGCCAAGGTGGGAAATACAGAATCTTCTTGCAGGCCATTTTATTTACTACTTTTTTTTTTTTTTTGATATAAAGTCTCCCTCTGTTGCTCAGGCTAGAGTGCTGTGGCATTGGCCTAGCTCACAGCAACCTCAAACTCCTGGGCTCAAGCAATCCTCCTGTCTCAGCCTCCCGAGTAGCTGCAACTACAGGCTCGTACCACCACACTCAGCTAATTTTTCTGTTTTTAATAGAGACGGGGTCTCTCTCTTGCTCAGGCTGGTCTCGAACTTCTGAGCTCAAGTGAACTTCCCGCCTCAGCCTCCCAGTGTACCAGGATTACAGGTGTGAGCCACTGCGCCCAGCCTCCTGCGGGCCATTTTAAACTCCAGTAGCTTAAATGACAGGCATAAGAAGACCTGATGTGACATTAAAGGCAAATTTATATGAGAGCTACACCACAGACTTGTACAGACCTTTATTCATATTTCATATGCTAAGAAATTAAAAGTGGTTATAAAGAAGAGCAAGTTAATTAGGGTCGCTGGTTGGAAGAACTATGGTCAGTATCAGCTGTGAAAAAGATAACTAAATGTTTTTCTGTCATATATAATCTAAATTATTAAAATTTAAAGGTTATAAGTTGAATAATTCCGTAAAGACTTAGGCATACCTTATATACCTTTCTCACACGCTAAAGCCAACCTTCTTTTCTTCCTTCTATAAATATTTACTGAGGGTCAACTATGTGTTAGGCCTTGTTCCAGGTGCTTGAGATATAGTGGCCAAAAAACCAGACATACTACCTGCCACAGGATGCTTCCATCGACGTTAGTGTGTGGGCTTCATAGCACCTGCCTTGCTCACTTAGAGGCCTTTGGGCACATCCTTCCTGAGGCCTAGCTGTGTTCTTTTTGACCTTCCTTATTTTCCCCTCCTGCATGAGACTCATACCTAGATAAAGAGAGACAGTCTACCCCAATGGCAACAGGCGAAAAAGCTGTAACTTTCCTTTAAGATAACTTTCCTGAAAGTTAATTTCCAGAGTAACTTTCCATCAAAAAAATTATGTATTGGAAAAAATATTTTTTAGAATTTTTTATGCATATATTTAGTATGGTGGGTTTGATGAACTTTTAGAAGAAATGTATCAAAAACCTATCAAAGAAATTTCATCAAAAACCTACCACAGGAAATGCAAATAAAGCCAACATTTTTAGAAAAACAGTTGTGCCTTAGAATTAGAGCTTATTTTTGCCAGGCACAGTGGCTTGTGCCTGTAATCCCAGCTATTTGGGAGGCTGAGGTGGGAGGATTGCTTGAGGCCAGAAGTTCGAGACCATCATGGACAACATAGTGAGAACCTTTCTCTAAAAAGAAAAAAAATAGCTAGGCATGGTGGTGTATGCCTATAGTCCAGATACTTGGGAGGCTGACACAGGAGGATCACTTGAACCTAGAAGGTCAAGGTTGCAGTGAGCTATGATTGCACCACTGCACTCTAGCCTGGGTGACAGAGCATGAGATCCTGTTTCTGGGAAAAAAAAAAAAAAAAAGGAAAAGAAGAATTCGACCTTACTTTTCACCTTAGAACTTATAGTGTAGTCCAAAAAAGTAGTTTAGATGTACAATTAATTTTTTTACAGGGTGAAGAAATTTCAGAATTAAACATATGTGACTGAATTAGTTCAAAAGAATAATTCTGTCTACAGTTTAGCTTTGGGGTTGTGATTCTTCATCATTAATTAACTACATAACTAATCAAACATTATGTAGTAGTCTTTAAAGATTAGTAAGACACGGTTCTTGCTTTGAAGAGCTCAGAATCTAGCATAGACAATAAATATATAAGCAAAAGATGCAACATAATTAAGTGCTATAAAAGCAGCATTGATCTTAACTGGCTCAGATGCTGCAGGAGCCCTGAGGAGAGCATGCCTAACTGCTTGGGGAGGTTTAGGAAGATGACATGTGAAAAGGTCTTAAAGGATGGTAGAGGACTCTGCCAGCAGAGAAGCTGTGGGAAGATATTTCAGGAACAGTATGGACAAGTCTCGAATATGAGAAAGAGTGAAGCCTGTGAAGGAAGCAATGGGTACTTTTGCATGGCCAAGGCATGATTGTGGAGGCAGGTGGAAAGAGGCAAGACAAAAATGGTAGGCAGGGGCCAATTGGGAGGGGACTTAGATGGTGTGATAAGGACATTAGAACTCATCCTGCAGGCACTGAGGAGCCACTGAAAGTTACTGAGCAGGGAACCATCTGTCCTGGTCCAGTTTTTAGTTTAGGAAGATAGCTCTTTCAGTTACAGAAGTTTGGTAAAATCTAGTAAAAGCCTGAGTGGAGGCAGTGGCAATCAGGAGGGAAATGAGGGATCTATTCATGAGACATTTGAGATGTAGAATTGATAGGCCTGGTTAAGTTGGGTAGCAAGAGGAAAGAAGGTATTTAGGAAGACTCGGATTTCTTGTTTGGAGAATAAATAAAAGCTCATGCCATTAACTGCCACAGGGAACAAAGGAGAAAGGCAGGTTGTGGTGGTGGATAAAATAATGAGTTGGCTTTTGGGCATGCTGAAGTTGAGATTCCTGTAGGGATATGCAGGCAGGTGATTCCAGAGCTTAGGACAGGGATGGAGACTAGAGATCAAGATTTGGATAAGTTTACCCAGGAAAGGATAGAAAGTACGAAGAAGAGACAGACGAGGACAGAATCCTATTTAAAAAAAAACACCAAAAAACCCTAAAAAACCACCTTAGTATCTTATAAGACGTAGAAGAGGAGAGAAGCCAGCAAAGGAGACCAAGGAGGAGGAAAACTGGAGAACCAGGAATGGTGTCAAGGATACAAAAGAAAAGAGAGGGTGTGGCCAACAGAAGTTAGAGGGGGGTCATGAGAGATTTGCAAAGTACCCATTGGCTTGCCCATCATCAGATGGCAGCATCCTTACCCTGAGTGGGCTGAAAGACAGATTGCAGAGAGGCAATGGGTAAATGGGAGGGGAGAATCTAGAGTCAGGTAAGATGGCTTTCTCTTTTAAGGAATTTATACTAAAAAAAAGACATGAAGAGTGGTGGTGTAGAATTACTGTTACATTGTGCAGGAGATGGTGGGCTGATACAGGGAAACTCAAATTTTGTAGAGCTGTTAATTTTCATCATTCAGCAGTATCGGACATTTGAAAGGTTATATAATAATTCATGCTTGCTGAGTGATTAGAATATTCTCCTGTCTGTTCTGTTCCTCTATCAGGGGGCCATGTTATTGTCTCTCTTTGGCTATATCATCTTGATCCTTTCTTATTCACCCCTTTCTGACGTGTGGACCTTGCAAAGCTCCTATGTCTATTCTGCTTGTATAGATTCTGGGCTTCTTTCAAGCTGGATATAATCTTACTCCTTTGCAATGGCATGTATGGGCTCGTTAGAGAGGAAAAGCTTTCTGCAAGTCATTCAGTCTGATACCCTCCTATAAGACCCAATTTCAGGCCAGGCGCGGTGGCTCACACCTGTAATCCCAGCACTCTGGGAGGCTGAGGCAGGTGGATTGTTTGAGCTCAGGAGTTCCACACTGGCCTGAGCAAGAGTGAGACCCCGTCTCTACTAAAAATAGAAGGAAATTAGCCAGACAACTAAAAATATATAGAAAAAATTAGCTGGGCATGGTGCCTGTAGTCCCAGCTACTTGAGAGGCTGAGGCAGGAGGATTGCTTGAGCCCAGGAGTTTGAGACCAGCCTGAGCAAGAGCAAGACCCCATCTCTACTAAAAATAGAAAAAATTAGCCAGGCGTAGTGGTGCTTGTGCCTGCAGTCCCAGCTACTTTGGAGGCTGAGGCAGGAGGATCGCTTGAGCTCAGGAGTTTGAGGTTGCTGTGAGCTAGGCTGACGCCACGGCACTCTAGCCCAGGCAACAGAGTGAGACATTGTCTCAAAAAAAAAAAAAAAAAAAAAAGCCCCAATCTCATTCAAATATCTTCTAGTGAAGATGACTATCTTTTCAAAGCATTTAACATTTGTAGGTATTTATAATCATTTAAAATTGGTATGATAACTGGTGGAAATAGGCAAATATTGCTGCAGCATATTCTGAAAGGTGAGGGGGCTGAAAACTTTAGAAAACCTTCTGATGAAGAGAAGCAGTTGATTATTACTATGACTCCTAGAGAAAACCAAAAGCTTGCCTACATAGTTGTTTAGAAAGCTCATTGTTTTTATTTTGAGCATAGAACATTATATTTTTAGAGAAAATTGTATTGATAAATATGCCAGTTGTGTTAATTATCTGCAGTGATAGTATTACATTGGGTGCAACCAAAGGCTTCACACGGACAATTCTATTTTGGGGTATTAAGTGAGAATCAGATAATTATTTATGTGTGTGATACGTACTTATTGTAACCACCACTTCCTTTCCCCCACCCCCACTGTCTTTTTCTCCTCTAGGTGATATCCCAATTGTTCCACTTAATTTTGTCATGATATCCCTGGAAAGCCCATTTAACAGGGATGTAGTGGAAGGATGTGTGAAGGAGACGTTGCTTTTTTTATCACGATCCATTTCCACCAAACAGAATGTGGAGTTTACGTTCAAAGGAATTGGGGTCCTCATGATCAAAGATGGCAAAGTGAAGATGAGATTTTATAAGGACTTCCTTTGTGCCATGGATGGAAGTGGGGCTTTGGCAAAAGCCCTAGCAAATGTAAATTAATGTTTTCCTAAGGAAGCCCTCTCCCAATCATAGCTCTGAATCATCTATAGGTGTGTTGTCATTAACAGAAACTAAGGTTGACATATTTTAAGTGCCAGTTACCCCAAAGGCACAGAAGCATTTTTTTATAGATCATTAACTCTTTGACAAAAAAGATTAGAAGGGCAAAGGAACTTTAAGTTTTGAGTCAATGCCAACTGAAAAATATAAATGGTAATATTAATAGAAACTCTTATAATTCTGACCATTTTTATAGTACCTTATAGTTTAAAAAGTTCTTCTGCATGTGTCATTTCATTTGAATCTCAAAACATTATAAAATCAGCATGATTATTATAATATCAATTTTATAAGTGAGAAAAGTGGGGGCTTGGAGAGGTTATGTAGGAAGCCTTAGGTTAGGGTGTTAATAAATGGTAGAATTGGGATTCAAGCCCAGAATTCCTAATAACACAGTTTTTGCTGGTTCTACTATTTTATTTTAATGAAAGTATATAACAAAATCTAGTTCAAGTCATGGAATTATATCTTTAGCTTTTAATTTGCATTGCTATAGAAGAAATTTCATAATTGGCACCACTATTTTGTTAACCTTTAAGTAGCTGGGATGGACTTACACCATTTTTAACCATTAAGTAGCCGGCGTGACCTTTATGCTAAGTTGGTCGTAGCAGAGTTTACAGAGGCAGTGAAATATCGTCCATCAGCAGGATTTATTGAATACTGAATGTGCCTTGGGTACAACTCCAGGAACTAACAAAGTTGACCTGAATGAATCGAATTACCATGGAATGTTATATCATCCTATATCTCATAGAGCAAAAGCCTGACTTTTAAATGAAAAGGCTATGAATATCATCTAATTTTGCCCGTATCTCCTTTCATGAAGCTCTGGGATGGGGATTTAGGAGATGGAGTTGTGCTCTTGGTGTTTTCTACACAATCTGGTTTCATTCAGGATTGGTAAGAGGGATGCCAGCTCTGTGTGGAAAGTGGAAACACACACAGGAAAAACTCTTTTTTTCCCCATGAAAACACAGGCAAGGTTTGCAAATCCACAAGCAAGGCCAAAGTGGGTAGCTCATCTCTAACACTCAGGGATTCTGCTGAACTTTGTAGCTTCAATGTGTGTTTAAAAAAGAAGATGGCATTTTCCTTGACCTGCTGAACTCTAAAGCGTAACTTTTAAGGAATATTTTCCAAGAGAACTAGTCCTGAGAGATACTCTGTGAAAAAAGGGTTTGAAGGCCCAAGCAGACTGAGAACTGCTGATTGTGTCAGTCTCCCTCATGGACAGAGGCACAAAGCACAGCAACTGTTAAAGGACCTGGGAAGTCTGGCTGTAAAGCAGCCAGTTTAACTGCCTGAATGTATTTGATCATGGAACTCTAAGTTAATGCAATACTCATTAATAGCTCATTAACTCTATAAAACATATTTTGGGAGACTGTTGTAAAGTGGTGGGAGTGATCGTTTTATTCTCAAATGTCCCATAACTTAAACCTGAGTACTGTCCTATAAAGTAATCCTCTTGGAAGCTGTGTGCTTATTTCAGTGATGCTACTTTGGTTAGAAATATTTTAAAACTTCTTTTTGGAAATTCCCTTCAAAGCCTTTTGTAAGCTATAGCATTCATCCAAAAATAATATCTTATATATTATTTTATACTAATAATGTAGTAGTGTGTGATTTATATAATAATTACAATAGCTATTAGTTCAGTGCTTACTATGTGCTAGCCACTTATACAGAGTACCTCATACAAGTCCTGTGAATTGGATCCTATTATTATCCCCACAAACCTAGTGTCTGGGGCCACATAGCTGTTAACCGTTTTGGGACTTGAATGTAAGCCCACCTGACTCCAAATCCCTTCTCTTAACTGCATAATTTTAGAGTCATTTGGGCCAAGAGTGAAATTAGCCAGCTTGCTCATTTTCCAGACAGTTTCAGGAAGTCTGCTTTCCTCTTAAAGATGTCTAAAATAAGTTGTCAACTCTGAAGGCAATTTCCACAGAGGAAATGATTCCAGAAAAGGCAGCACCAATGGTATTGCTGTGCCACTACCCACCCCATAGTGACTAGTCTGATGAAATGAGATCATTCTTCATTGGATTTTAAGCTCTGGACTTTAAGCACTAAACAAAAACAACAGTAAAAAGTATCATGGTAGCTTTGCCTTTGAGATAGCTGTAGTTTCTGATTTGTCTGTGTCCTGGAGCACAGCCCGGGTGTAACCCTGCTCTGTCTCTGTCGCTGTCCTCCAGAGGCCTGGCACTGTGGACTCCGTGTTATCCTGCCAAGAGGCATTTGGGAAGCGGCCCAGCAGTGTGCTTGTATTTCCAAGGTGAGTGCTTTGCTCCATGGGCTCCTCCAGGTTCCAGCTCTCCTTGCTGATCTGTTGACCTGATTGGGCAGTGTTACTCAACCTTTTGTAGCTCCCGCTCCTTTGAGAAGTGAATTCTCTCTCTCTCTCTATCTCTCTCTCTCCCTCCCTCTCTCTAAATACACCAGCAAAGAAAAATTTATTGCATACACTTTCTGTAGTTAAGTGAAATAAAAATAGGCATTTAGAATATTCTTTTTTAAAACTCTTGGCTCCCTGGAAATTCTAATACCACCTTCCAACAACCTTAGTCCCTGTAATATTAGTCAAACTCTTCTTACCTGCTGGACTTTCCTCTCCTTTCCACTACTTCCTCTGCCTAGCTTCTTCATCTTCCTGTAGTCCAGCCCACTTCCTGTCTGAGCTCTGATTTTTACCTCTAAACAGGTTAAAAAGATAATGTTAGAATAAGGGAACAGCTTTACACCATGAGCACAGTGGGTGTTACTGGTGGCTGCATATTACTATTTTAAGTTTCACTACAATCATGTGACATATGTATTGTAATTTTTTCCATTTTATAGAGATACAAAAGTATTTAAGTTTTAATTCCCTTTTTTAAATGAGTGAAGAGCAACATGGTGCACTATTAAGAAATTGAAATAGGAGTCAGGAGACTTGAGTTTTATTTCCAGCTTGGCCATCGCTCACTCATTGTGTGCCCTTAAACCTGTTCTTGATTTTAATTGCTGTTACGTTAACCACTGTGCGGTTCAGGTGGAGGAAGTTTGGGGAATAACAACCAATTTCCTAAAGTATTATTTTCTCGTGTTTTTTGAGTCTGTGACATCCTCTTGTGTTTGTCAGTTTGGAACAACCTCCTCCTGGAAGAGCCGTTTGACACACACCTCAGAAGAAGCAGCGTGAAGGCCAGAATAAGCCTGAGAGATTAGTTAGTCCAACTCCCTCATCTTGCGGAAGAAATGGTCATACGGCTAATGAGTGGACAAGCTAGAAATAAAACCATGGCTCCTGATTGTTCCAGCATTCTTTCCATTGCATCATGTTGCTTTATTTACCAAAAATAAATTAACAGGGTCCAAGTAATTTTATTTTCATTGTTTTAGAAGGCAAATTTGGCTGTCCCCTTTGACATATTTTGGTTTAAGTACTTCTGGAGGGCAAAAATTGCAGTGAGTCAAAGGACAGAGATGGAGGCTCCTGTCAGTTTGAGAGCCTAGAAATGCACATAAGGATTTAAATACTCAAAAAAATTGTTGATGTTTTATTTATGTGGAGTTTAGTCCCTGAATTTACTGAAGATACCCCCACCTCTGCTCCCAACTCCAACCTAGTACCCCACATAGGAGACAAAAGAAAACCTCCAACTACACACACCAACTGAACCCCACCCCCCCAAATTGAACCTTTGCAAGTCCTTCACTTTTGCCTGGGGAGAGGATGGGAAAGTAGGGTAGTGAAGGAGGGGGAGAGGAATGGTCATTTAGGGGCATGCTCTGTCTGCCAGGCTGCGAATCCTTGTCTTCAAGCTATCCAACAACTACCTTTCACTGTATCACCCTCATGGAATCTGCTTACAGAACTAGAAAGGATATAGAAAAATTCAAACTGAAACCAAAACCGAAAACTTAAATCAAGGCCTTCAGAGCAATTTATCTATATATAAGCTGATTTTGAGCCTATAGTGTAGAAGGGGGAGCTCTTAGTCAGCTCCCAGACTTAGCCTCAAAGAGAATGAGTCCATGGTATGTACTCAGCACATCAAAGCACTCACCCCCTGAAGGAAGTGGTCTTATTTCAGAATCAGTGAGCTGGCTGGTTGCTTCCAAGAATTGAGAGTTCGTGCAGTCATCTATTCAGGTCCAGTACAGTGAACAAACATCTTGGCTTGTTCCTAGGATTGAGCTCCAGGAGACGGAGAAAAAGCCACCTATGGAGACCATTGGAGAAGAAGATGGAGAGAACAGATCAAGGAAGTTCAAGCTAAAAGACAAGTCAGACAAAGCAGGCGATATCAGAGGTAGGCCAATGGTTTCCGGGTATAATCTATCACTCTCTACTTATGAGCCCAGCCATATTGCTTAGCAACTCATATTTTCAAAGTAAAGTTAGATTCATCAGTAATCACTGCATTCTCCCTAACAAATATCTTCTATTCCTAGAATGCTATATCTCACCTTAACTACCTTATGAGTCTTAGATCCTACGACTCTCAGGCTCTTAGAGTATCATCTCTTTGCTGGCTCCCCACTGCTTATAGGTGTCAAAACTCAGATTCCTACAGGGTCTAGGCAGGTAACATAAATGCAGGAAGTGGGCTGGATATAAGATGATAGGGAGATGTGTTAGCTTAAATAACATTTTTTATAAAAAATAAAGAGTGGCAGTTTGACATTTTTCATGTCTATAGAAGGTAGCTGGATTTTCATACCTACGTCTATAGTTAGTTAATCCATTGTGATATGTTGTTTTGGTTGAAGCATATGAAGAAAATCCTAGGACTTTGAAGACATTTTGAAGGGGTCCTAGGGACCCCAGGACTTACCAGATGACAGTTTGGGGATTGCTCCTCTAGCAGATTATTGCTTTGTGGAAATGTGGCTCAAAAATTAAATCTGAATTTTTTCAAAAGAAGCAGAGATCCTGACTTTAATGTGAAATCTATTGATTGTTAAATGTTGACAACTTTTGTTGATATTGAAACAGAGAATGCTGATTGGGCCAAACAAAGCATATCAATAGGTAAACATCGGCTTGTGGGTGTCAGTTTTTGATATGTGGCCTATAGGATTACATGTAAACTTTTAGCTTAATAGTCAGATACTTTGGTTTCTTTAGCCTCATCTCCCATTGTGCCCTAAGTACATAGACCCCTTGTACATAGACATGTACATAGACATGAAATTGTCTATTCTTGTTCTTCTAACATGCCTACCCTTCTCCAGCTTTATCCTTTTGTTAGCTCTTTTTCTCCAGCCTGACATGCCCTTCCTTTTCTGTCCGTCTATCTCAATCCTACACACCTTTTAGCGTTCTTTTCACATCTCACTTCTTCCATGAAAATTTCTCTTATCACTGGATTCTGAAATGGCTTCTCTCTTCTCTGAACATGTCAGACCCTTAAAGATTGCACCATTTGTTTGAGATTTAGACATTTTGTATCATTGTCCTAAGTTGCTATTTACACAATGTATGTAAAGCACTTAACACTGTTGGCATGTAAGAAGACCTCCACAAATGGGAGTTCTCATTGTTTTTATTTATATCTTATTTTTTGTATCTTATTTTTTGTTTGTATCTTATTTTTCTCTCCAACTATATCTATTGAAAGATCATAAGGGCAAAGACTTACCTCTTTATATCCTCTAAATGCTTAGCACAGTGCTTTCTTTGCATATATACAGCTAAAACATTTTTTATACCACAATAGGATAAGGGACAATTGTTTAAAGATAAGAGAGTATATCTTATTAATATATGATAAAAATTTTTCTTTGGTTAAAAACGATCAGAATTTATTTATCTATGTTAAATAGAAACTACCCAGTTAGTAGTTTGAAAGTTGAAAGGAAACTTGTTTCCATTCGTTCTTTGTTCTACAGAGATCTCATCACCCAAGAGACTTAAAGATAGACAAATTATCTCCCCTGCCAAAGTGACAAGCAGCAACTTGCTGGACAAGTTTGAGCGAAGTGGGAATGGTGGGAAGATCATGACCCCTAAAGGGTAATGCGTTGACATTTTTTTCTGTTGTACTTAATATATTTTTGAGTCATTTCTCGATGCAAGGAATTTAAGTAATTGTTTGTTCATTCATTTATTCAGTGTTCTTGAGAACATTCAGTGTGCTAGGTGTTGGGAATAATAGAGATGACCAAGGCTCATGATCTAGTGGAAAAATCGGACATTTGTAGAGGAATAAATTGTGATTCAGTGGGATATATGCTATGACAGAGGCAGAAACAAAATAGCACAGAGGAGGGGACATCCAACTTTCCCTGTAGATTTGGGTTAATCTACAAAGATTCCTAATGGAATTCCATTAGAATGAATATAGTACAATTTATCATGGCCAGGTCTTCTTCTTGTGATGTTATGTCAAAAGATTTCTTTTCTTTCGTTTCTTTTTCTTTTCTTTTCTTTTCTTTTTTTTTTTTTTTTGAGAGAGAGTCTCTCTCTGTCCCCTGGGCTAGCGTGCAGTGGTACCATCATAGCTCACTGCAACCTCAAACTCCTGGCCTCAGCCTCCTGAGTAGCTGGGACTACAGGCATGTGACACCATGACCAGCTAAAAAAAGATTTCTATTTTATCCTTCTTTCTTTGAGTAGGAGACTCTTTAAGATCTCAAATCAGTAAACCCTATTCACATTGTTTATTGAACATCTAACTATGTACCTTGCATTGTGCTGTCAACTTTCAATTTATTAATGTGTTACAATTTATCAGCAATTATATGTGTAGCTTATATACTTTTTGGATTGCTAAAGTCATATTCAAAACCCTAGGCATGTTTGTTTTTGATAATCTCAGTGCTGTGAAAGATCATTGAGAACTAGGTGTCTAGTACTTTGGAATTTAGTTCAATCCAAAAAACACCCAGCACCACTGTGTGCCAGGTACTATTCTAGGCACTGAGCATACAGAGCTAAAGGCATACAAACCTACTTTCATAAAACTTATAGACTTTTTAAAAAAATATCACAATATTAAGAGCGTACACATGTTTCTATTACATGGATAAACTTATAGTATTTTTTTTTGGTTTTTGATAAACTTATAGTTTTGTAGGGAGACTTGACACTAAAGAAGTAATGCATGTGATGAAGACAACAAAAGAAAATACAGAGGATGCCAAGAGGAGGGAGGAATTCATTGTTAGGGATTGTTAGTGAAGGTTTCCCATAGAAGTTGACCAAAAAATGTTTTTTGTGCTGATTACTAAAATAGTACATATTTATCACAGAAATTTTAAAAACATGAGAAAAGCACGAGTTACAAAATAATCACTAGTAACCTCACTACATAGAGGAAACTTTCTGTTAACACTATGGTATACATCTTTTATTTCAATGCATATAAAATATATACATATATTCATACCTGAAACATACATACATTTTTAAATAAAATTGAGATCAGATATATGAACCTTTTTTACACTTAACGATAAGTGGTAAAAATTTCCCCATGGCTTTAAATATTCTAAAACATTAACAAATGATTGCATATTATATAAATGAAAGATTAAACATTTTGTTTAGCCAATCTTCTGTTGGATATTTAGATGGTTTCTAGTTTTTTATTATAAATAATGTGACAGATATAATTACACATAATTCTTCGCACACATCTGAATAGTCCATAGGATAAAAAATTTAAAATTAAATTTCAGAGATAAGGGGTGAGCCTAGTTTTCATGCCTTTACTACACATTGTCAATTATCTTCTGGAAGGTTGTACTGGGTTATCCTCCCAGTAGCAGTACTATGAGAGACTGCTGTTTTTTCTACAGCTTTGCTAATATTGGACATTGCACTTTCAGAGATCTTTCTGTCATAATAGGTGAAATGAGCTATTTCATTATTGTTTTAATTTGTGTTTGTTTAATTTCTAGTAATTTTATAGTTATTTTAAAATGTTTCCTAGCTATTTGTTGTTCTTCTTTTGCAATTTTTTTTTTGTTTGAATTCTGTATCCTTTTTCTACTGGGAGGTTTACTTTACTTTTTCTTAGAAACAGGTTGTGTTTCTTATAAAGAGAATTTTTTATACCATAGGTATGAATAGTTTTCTGATGTATATGTTTTAAATATTTTTCCAATTCTTTTTTTTCTTTTAAATTTTGTTTCTGCATCATTTAATGCACAGAAGTTTAAAATATACCCTGTCCAATTTACCAACCTGTCCAAGTCCCCAAACACCATGTTTGGGGATGTAAGTACATGATGACATTTTCATTTTGAAAGAGTAAGGAATGATTTAGAGGGATAGAATTAGTGCTGCAGGGGAAGAAGCATAATAAAATGAAAAGATTGGGCACAATTTAAGAGATTAAGGCAGTAGTCTATGCCATTTGTTTCTGACAGATGACCCTAAAGCTTCTCAGAGGGCCTTGAGAGCCATCTCAGAGGGTGAGAGTGAGGTCCTGTGGGTGGGACTCTGGGCTCTATCCTGTCACTTCCACTGGAGTGTGTGTGCTTTTTTTTTCTGTTTTATGTATTGGGGTTTGAGTAAGATTTGTTTAAACTAAGGGGGGTAGGACTTTCATTGGGGAAAGATAATGTGTGAAACTAAGATCAGATGGAGAGGAAGCTTTAGATTTGGCTGTTTAAGAGGTAGAATCAGCAGGGCCTGGTGATTAATTAAATGGAGGGTTGAGAAGAGGGAGGAGTCTAAGAGGACCCCAGACTTTGGCTTAGGTAAGGGGGCAGGAAGGTGGCATCATTAATCAAAATGGGGGCTGCTGTGGGAAGTGCAGATTTGACTGGTGCTGAAGGCATGTAGTAGTTAGTGAATCTCTGAAATTTTCACTCCAATTTAGAGGTTTTTTTTTTATTTTAGTATATTATGGGGGTACAAATGTTTAGGTTACGTATATTGCCCTTGCCCCACCTTCCCCCCCGAGTCAGAACTTCAAGCGTGTCCATCCCCCGAATGGTGCGCATTGCACTCATTTATATATGTATATATCCATCCCCACCTCCCTCCTCCCATCTGCCCGACGCTTGATAAATGTTATTCCTATATGTGCACTTAGGTGTTGATCAGTTAAAACCAATTTGATGGTGAGTACATGTGGTGCTTATTTTTCTATTCTTGGGATACTTCACTTAGTAGAGTGTGTTCCAGCTCTATCCAGGAGAATACAAGAGGTGCTATGTCACCATTGTTTCTTAAAGCTGAATAGTACTCCATGGTACACATATACCACATTTTATTAATCCACTCATGCATTGATGGGCACTTGGGTTGTTTTCACATCTTTGCAATTGTGAATTGTGCTGCTATAAACATTCGAGTGCAGATGTCTTTTTTATAGAATATCATTTTTTCCTTTGGGTAAATACCCAGTAAGTGGGATTCCTGGATCAAATGGTAGTTCTACTTTAGAATGCAGCCATTTATTATCTCCCCAACTTCTATCACCTTGGTCCAAGCCACTATCTCTTTCTCTTGAGTTATTAGAATGGGAATGACTCCTGTCATTGTTCCTATTCAGTTTATTTTCAACAGCAGCCAAAATAATACTTTTAAAATGTGAGTTAGATAACCTCCTCCACTGCCCAAACTTCTCGGTGGCTTCCTATACCCATTCACGGTAAAAGCCAAAGTCCTTACCATGGCCTGCGAGATCCTGCCTGGTCCCCAACCTTTCTTCTCCTTCTCACCCCTAACTCAGCTCCCTCTACCACTCTGGAGCACAGGCATCTCCCTCCTCAAGGTCTTTGCACTCTTTTGCTCACCTGGAATGTCTTTTCCATCAGGTATCTACATGATAGCTGCCTTATTTTCTCCAGGTATTAACTCGAATGTCACCTTCTTGGTGAGAACTTCCCTGGCCGTTCTATTTACAATTTAACACTCCATTTCTCCAGCATTACGTGCATTTATCATCATGGAGCATACTATAGAGTTTGCTTATTTATCTTGTCATTGGCTGTCTATCCCAATCAGAATGTTAATCCCACGAGGACAGGGATTTTGTGTGTGTGTGTGTGTGTGTGTGTGTGTGTGTGTATGTGTGTGTGTTGTTTTTCACTGCGTCTCCTGTGCCTAGGACAGAGCACATGGTAAGCGCTCAGTACATTCTCGTGGAGTGAATACATTTCATTCCCATTTCACAGAATTGGTAGCTGACGTTTTGCAAGATTACACAGTTCATCTTACATCAGTTAGCTTGTAAGAAACAAAGCTGGGGTTCAAACTCAGCTCTATCTGACACAAAGTACAGGTTCTTAACCTCTCTATATGTAACTGTTCTGAAGTAAACCACTGAGATATTTTTCTTTATCTTGTATTTATACTTGCCTCAAAGTTATCATTGCTCTACAGGTCAGACTGTACTAAACATTAATGAAAGTTGCATTGTTTTTATAGCATATCATCTCCAGGTTGTCTGAAAAATAACAATGAAATGAAGCCCAGAACATCTCCAGCCCATGCTTGCCAGGACCATAGCAGGGCAGGACAGGTACACTGTCTTCAAACAAACAAAGCGCGGTTAGAATCTCATTTGTACTTGTTCCTCAAAGAGAATTCTGGGAATCTCTTTCTTAATTATAAAATAATATATGGGCATGGCTCAAGTACTCAGAACCGAAAACTGGACCATTACAAATTTATCTACCAGTCAAGATCTACTAGTTAACAGAAATAGAGTGGGGAAATCCTTTTCTAATTTTCAGTTGCTCTAAACACTTCCGGTCAAGTGAGAGTTCAGTAAATCCTTTAGATTATTTGTGGGGTCCACTCTGCAAATCTCATTTTGCTAATTGTCACTAATACATCCTTTTATAAAGTGTGTTTCTTGATGCTCTAGTCTTTGGAGAGCTTGTGATGGGAAGGTGAAGGCAAAAAAGTAAAATGTAAAAATTTATTTGTCCTGAAATTTGGGATTGTAGGAATTGTGCTATGTATGTTTGCAACGAGCAGAACGAAATTTCCCGTTGTACTACAGTGAGGAGAGGAGGAGGAGAGAGATAGAAGATGAGCGACTCATAATGCAGTATCAGATGTTGAAAGACCAGGAGGCTCTCTTCAAACACCAGGTAATCCAACACCTCAATTAAAGGGTGTTTGATATAGGACAGTAGAACATGATTATAAAATGCCATTGAAAATGTTCCATCAAATGTCTGTCCTGTAACATATCTGATCATGTATTCATTGCCGAACTAAACCTTAGGTTGTTTCCAAGTTTTCACTTATAACCAATAACACTGGGATGAATATACACATGTTGAATGTTTGCACATATCACTGATTTTTTCCCCCATAAGGACTGAATTTTAAAGATGGAATTTCTGAATTTTTCTTGCTTTATTTTTAATTTCTGATAAAATATAACTCTAGTCAAGGCTTTTACCCTTCAGATTTATGGCCTATCTTAATCAAATAAAGACAGAATGGCACCTTTACATTGCTCTATCCAGATTTTTGTGGTTTCCAATACTACTACCCTTTCCTGCATTTGTGATGAACTCTCCTATTCCTTCTTAATATCCCTATAGTGGCACTGTCTAAAGCCCAAGAACAGGAAATAAAAAACTTTCCCCAACCCACTTTGATAAATCTATGAAGACATCAGAAAGTACCATTGCCTCCAAAAGGCAGGTTTCTACCTTGGTTGGATTATTTAAATGTAATAGAATTAAAATTTTTAAAGGCTCTGTTACGTGTAATTAGAAATTAAAAAAATTTTTCTTTGCAATAGATGAAAAGTCTGGCTACTAGAGAGCAGAATCAGAAAAATGCTGCCTATAATCTTGGAGTTGCTGAAGCTATAAGAAGCCATAAGAATGAGAAACCTGAATTTTATGTAAGAGTCTTTTAAAGTTTTCTATTGCTAACACCTGCCCCGTCTGTGAGTATTTGAATCCACTCCCTGTATTGCAGGTTGTGCCATTTTTAAGTGGCAGAGTTGAAAAGCGGGTGGTGTAGTTTGAAGCTTTCTTCTAGGACAGGGGTTGTCCAGTGTTGGCCGCCACACTGTTCACATTCACAATATATTATGGGTTCCAATTAGTCATCACAGCTCTTGTTAATTACAGTAATTCTCAACCAGGACCTGGGATGGGTGGTGGGGGGCAGTATACTAAAGTCCAGCCCCAGGATCTAAAGAGAAAACCAGCAGCATTGGCATTACCTGGGAGCTTGCTGGAAATGCAGGCTCTAGGGCCCCACCCCAGACCTCCCTAATGGGCAGCTACACCGGAATAGGATCTCCAGGTGATCTGTGTGTGCATTAAAGGTTGAGAAGCCCAGCTTCAGATGGCGGTGAGCCAGCTGTTTCACTGACTGATATAATGGTTTCAATCATTGTGTGCCTATGTTTATTTCTGCCTGAATCTTTCTCTCATCACACCACCATCTAGGTAGTCTGATATTCTGGACGTAAATCTAATAAAACATATTTTCATTATTCATCACCAAACATTTATGTACTTATTTTATTGAACTCCTCTTCTGTGCCAGGCACTGTGCTAGCAGCTAGGAGTACAAGGTCCCTCTTCTGAAGAGGTCTTGATCTAGTGGGAGAGACAAAGAGACAAGAGTGTAGCATAACAAACGCCATGGTAAATCTTTGAAAAGGGCACTATGTGAGCAAAGAGGAGAGTCACTTAATCCAGACTGGAGATCTGGGAAAACTTCCTGGCATACAGGAGTTAGGTAAAGAAGCCAATGGAGGACGAGCATTCCAGACGGCAGGCAGGGAGGGAGAGAGCATGCGGCTTTTGAGATTTAGGTATGATCTTTCTCCTCACACACAACCTCCAGATTTCATTTGCTTTGTATCTCCTCTTTGATACATCTTTACAAAGTTAAGTGTAAAAAAACCAAAACAGAACTTTTGATTCCCTCCTTAACTTTAGTCTTAGTCTTCTGATGATGTTAACTGGTGGTGGTAGTAAGTGGCATCACCAGCCAGCCACTTGCATAAACCCCGTATCTAGGCACGATCCCAGATTCCTCTTTCTCTGTCCCCCACATCCAACCATCTGCAAGTCAAGTGGCCTTTACCTCCAGAATGTATCCAAAGTCTGTTCACATCTCTTCATCTTCAATGTTGCCACTATAGTCCAAGCCACAGAATAAGGCTCAACTTCTGCAATTCCTCCCTAAGTAGACCCACTGCTTGCATTCTTGCTCTCCCACAAACTATAGCCCACACAGCAGCCAAAGTGATCTTTTAAAGTTGTTAACCAAAACATACCTTCTCTCATTTAAAACCCCTTATGGTCTTCCACTAAATTAAAATGAAATCTAAACCCCTCACCTGGACCTATTAGACCCTACATGCTCTGGCCCTTGCCTTCCTCTCGGAGCTCACCAACTTCTGTTAATACTTCCCCTTGTTCACTATGCCTCAGCCAAAGACCTCCTCCTTGCTCATTGAATGTGCCTAGCTTGTTTCCGTCTAGTGTCTTCGCACTTGCTGTTCCTTCTGTATGGGACACAGGTCCCTCTGATAGTTACACTGGAGGTGATTCGTCATCTCCATGGAAAAACCTTCCCTAATAACCAACTAATTTAGCCGTTCCCACCTAGTCACTTGCTATGATAAGGGCTTCATAGCACTTATCACTATTGTAAATGGTCTGATATACTATTTACTTGTTCATTGTCTCCTGACCCAGAATGTAGGCTTGATGAGAGCAAGGATTTGTTCTTGATCACTGTTGGATCACCATGTCTAGGATGGCCAGGGCCCCACAGTAGGTGTTAAGTTCTCTCTCTTTTCGCCTCCTCTCTGTTCTTGCTCATGCTGTTGCACCCACCACTCAAGAGTTCCTTCTTCCTTCCATCTGGATGTTGTAAGTGCTGGCTCAGGACCTACTCCATGGAGTACTTTTTCATCTCTGTCTCAGAAATGAGGCTAAGGTCAGTTCAGTTCAGCTTCATCCTTGAACACATTCCTATTACTCTGTAGGTTACCTCAACACTAGCTGCTCAACGTGTTGAGTGATGGGCAAATATTAACAAGTAAGAAATACTTTCTGATTGATTTTAGTCTTCTGAATTATTAACTTTATTTTTGGTATTCAACCATAAATTAATTGCTTCTCTTTTATTCTAGAAATCCTTTCTATTTGATAAACGGCCACTCAGTCCTGAGCTTAATGCTCTTAAGCAAGAGGAATATTCCCAAAGTCTCCTGAAACAAATGGATAACAGACGGGAAAAGGAAATAAAGGAAAGACAAAACAGAGAGTTGATGGACCGCCTAGAACAAGTGCAACTCACAGAGGAGTGAGTCCAGCTAGACATGCTCTGAAAAATGGATTTGGAATTTTCATGTGAAGTTAATTTTCACGTAGGATTGAATCAGTAGTTTTTATTAGCATCATTGTGACCAACTGAGCCAACTAACCCAGTCAGCAGCCAGTACTGCACCATAACTTTTTATTAGAAAAATGAAGCTGTCATCATTATAATTATCATTATAGTAATGATTGCCATCTGTAATTACTATAATAATAGAGTATTCTTTTGTATTGTTTTGCAATCACACCAATATTAGTAGACGGAGGAAGGGATTTGTCTTGAGTAGGCATCATTCCAAGCTATTAGATGTTTAGGTGACCTCATGGCAAAGCTGAGGCTTTATTATAAGTATGTAGGGGTGCTCCGTGGAACTTGAGGGCAGGAATATACAGGGAACCCCTATATTTGAAGAGATTGGAACCAGGGACTATGAAGCCGTGTGGAGTGGCTTCCCTCTGCTTACATCCAGAGCTCCTTAGTTGACATCATCTTTATTCCAGCGCTAACTTAGGGAATGTTAGTCTCAATTCCAAAGTTTTAGGAGTGAATCTGTTTGGTCCTGATTGTGTTGCCTGAGGCGTGGGATAGGGTCAGGGCCATGGAGTTCATATATGCCTAAGGGGGCCCACGTTTCTGCTACTGAGGTCAAGAGAGCAATTGTGGAGGCTACTGTAGTGTGACCAGAGACTCCTAAAACAAGTAAGAAACTAGTTTATATGGCCAAAAAGTATATTTCTATAATATATATATATATGTTCTATTATACTCACTTGACAGATCATATGGGTTCTCTGGAGGTTGCGTATAATAGAATCATAACTTATAACAGGATAGATCACTTAAAAAGAAATCTAACGAAGAATCAGTTTATGGAATGAATGGTCACTTCCTGCTTTCTTATTCAGATTTTAAAAAGAACTGGTGGTGGTGGGGTGAGGTGGGGTGGTGATGGTGGTGCCTGCCATTTTTGTAGTAGCACTTTTGGACAATACAGTTGGTCACTTGCTTATACCTGTGCTGTCTGTCCTCTGTTCAACACATTGTTCACTAGCCTATGGATTTGAATTACTCTTTTCTTTCTTAAAATGAAAGCTCTCAGAATGAAACAGGCTCCCATTCCTACTAATACTTATTAAACAAACATGTTTTGATGATGTTAATCTGTGTTACTGATGACTCTGTAAAACTATGCTCCCCCTTGTCCTGTTCTTAACTGCCAGACTTGCTGCGCAAAGAGCCAAATATTTAAAAGATAAGATGGAAGAAACGCAGTGTTACAAGAGAGCTTTGGATGCACAGGTAAAGGGATAATTGTTATTTTAAAAATTATGCAGTGCTTTGGTAGCATTCTAAGAATATGAATGAATACTGACAAGTTATGAATACACTTATGTGTTTTGCACTTGGTGGTTTTTGAGCCCCTTGTTCTTTCCTGTAAGGTATTAGTAATTTACTATATTACAGAATTGTGCATAAAGTTTATTCTCTGGGAGAATTAAAACCTGCATTATGTGTGTCCCTGTTTCAGATAAGAAACAAACCCTCCCAGCTGCCCATGTTTGAGCCAGACTCCTCTGAGCCCATCTTTGGTAAGAATGAGGGTGAGCTGATGGTGGAAAAGCGAAAACGAGAACAGAATTATATGAAACACCAGCTGGAGACTGCTGCTGGTCACAAGAGGAAAGCCATCCTGCACCAACTGGTGGAGCAGAGGCGGGATCTGCAGATGCTTCAGAGGACAAAAAGAGAGTAAGAAGACCACCGACCTCTCTCCCTCCTCCATCTCTGCTCACCTATCCCACCCTTTCTCTCTCTCTGTCTTTTTCATACAATGGCACGAAAGTGAGAAAGAGCTAACAGTTGAGGAATTACTTGTACAAGACATTGTTCTAAGCTCATTACATGCTCCCTCTCATTTTATTCTCACAATTTATTCTATGAAAAAAAATTATTAAATAAATTTTTAAAAACCTGTCTTCACCCCATTTCCTCCTCTATTATCTCCCCATATTTTTACTTCCCTTCACAGTACAACTTCTTAAAAGAGTTGCCCATACCAGCACTATCCACTGGAGCTATAACATGAACTGCAAATGTGGTGTCATGCTGAAGTAGACCCAGACATGAAACTTGGGCCCTTTTTCAACTTTCACTATTCCCATCCTTCAAAGAATCTGCATATAATAAGCTTTACTCGTGATTTCTGGTGAGGGAGTTGGTGATGAAGATGGTGGGGTAGACAGAGGAGGGAGGACTTTATACCTTTATACTTTATAGCTGCAAACACCTTTAATTCCGAACATCAGATATTCCGTTTCTTAAAATGTACAGTTGATCACCCCCCGAATGGAGAATTTCTAAAGGTCCTGACTAGCTGTCAGTCTTGCAGCATCTCCATGGTTCCTGTCTAGTCTTTCCATCTTCCATATCTTCTATTTTCACCTCCACCCCACATTGGCACAGAGAACTCCAGTTTCTTCTTTGTAGATGTTCAGTAATTCTCAGATCCTTGATTAGCCAAAATCACCAAGAGGAGTTCCAAAAAGGCTTCTGTTCAAAGGAATCCACTCTTTCTAGAAGGTGGTTGTACTTATAAAAAGAAAAGTTATTTTATTAAAATTTTATAAATGGTCAGTGGGATAGTGTATAGATCTGTCATGTTCTATACCAAGTAGGCCCAGACATGAAAATATGGGTAGAATAATATGTTGAAGATGGAGGATATTGGGATAAGGGTGAGCTTTTATTGTTGGTAGAGAGAGGTGAGAGTGGTTAAAAACATGATTTCTGGAGTCAAGTCAGAAGTGGGATAGTCTTGCATATTCTCAGGGCAATGTATACTTTTACATCTATACTATTTGCTAAAATAGTGAAATATCTCCATACTTCTTGATAATAAATACTGTTACCTACAAGGCCTGCAGGTGTACCTCTGCTGCCCAGGCTGCTCCAGCTCCTCCCTGGGATCCCTCATCCCACCTCTACATTATCTTTCACCTAAAGGATGAATTCCTGGGGTCTCCAAGGCCAGGGTCAGGGTCCTTTCTGATTGATTGGTGTGGTTCTGTCATTTTACTAGTTGTGTGATATTGGGCAGCTTACATAGCTCTGAGGGCATTAGTTTCCTTAATAGTTATTAGGGATAATACTAGATTTACTTCCAGGTGGTTGAGGATTAAATGAATTAATCCTTATAAATAGCTTAGCATAGTGCTTGGCTCAGAGTAAGTGCTCAGTTAAGGGTAGCTATTGCTATCATAATAATGTTTTTCTAGTTGATAAGTTAGCATAATTATTCTCCATTATATCAGCTTAAATAGCTGGGAGTGTTCTCATTTGTGGCCCTCCCTAGGTCTGACTTCTCTACAGATAATTGTTTACCCACTCTACTGATCTCAGGATATAAATCCAAGTGATTCTAAACTTTTTACCTAGTGTAGAAGGTGGCAAAAGACTTTTCAAGAGAAAAAAATGTTTGACAAAAGGGAACAGTAGACTCTTAATCTATGTAGGATAATGAAGTGGCGGTGTGGCTGTTGTGGGTCAACACCCAGGCAAGTACAGTGGGGTGAAGAGGCAGAGCTCCACCTTCAATCATGGTACATAGGTAACTAGAAATGGCTGTGGCATGAGATTATGCCCATGACTTTGAATCTACTTCCTGTGCCATGATTCTGAGACTTTATGAAAATTTACTATAGTCTTCCCCTTAAGCATGCTATTTTATTTTCAACAGATTCTATGGTTTTGATATCACAATTCTTGAAGATTAAAAGATTATATTCTAATAATCCTGAAAGGTTCTGTAGGCATTTTGATAGTGAGGAAGAGAGGCAGTTACAGCCCATGAAGATTTCTGAAAGCATAAACATGCCTGAGGGAAGGCATAACTTTCCTACTGATTTTTACTTTGTTCTTTAAAAAATTACCCCTTTATTGAGGTATAATTGACATATAATAAACTGCAAGTGTGCAAGTTGATAAATTTTGACATATATGTGCACCCATCCATGAAACTAATATCACAGTCAGGATAACAAACTTGAAAATGAACTCTCTGTAATTCCTCTCTCCATCTCTCCCCTGTCCCCTGTCCTCGAGAAACCACTGATCCAGTTCCATCCAAATTGCTACAAAAGACATTATTTCCTTTTTATGGCTGAGTAGTACTCCGTGGTATACATATACCACATTTTATTAATCCACTCATGTATTGATGGGCACTTGGGTTGATTCCACATCTTTGCGATTGTGAATTGTGCTGCTATAAACATTCGAGTGCAAATGTCTTTTTTATAAAATGACTTTTTTTCCTTTGGGTAAATGCCCAATAGTGGGATTCCTGGATCAAATGATAGATCTACTTTTAGTTCTTTGAGATATCTCCATATTGTTTTCCATAGAGATTGTATTAGTTTGCGGTCCCACCCACAGTGTATAAGTGTTCCTTTCTCTCTGCATCCACACCAGCATCTGTTGTTTTGGGACTTTTTTGATAAAAGTTGGTCTCACTGGAGTTAGGTGGTATCCCATTGTGGTTTTGATTTACATTTCCCTGATAGAGACATTGAGCATTTTTTTCATATATTTATTGGCCATTAGTCTTGCTTCTTTTGAAAAGCTTTTGCTCATGTCTTGTTCTCACTTTTTAATGGGGCTGTTTGATTTTTTTCTTGTTGTTTTGCTTGAATTCTTTAGGGATTCCGGTTATTAGCCCTTTATCAGATGTACAGCATGAAAACATTTTCTCCCATTCTGTAGCTTGTCTGTTCACTTTATTGATTGTTTTCTTGGCTTCTTAATTTGATCAGCTCCCATTTATTTATTTTTGTTGTTGCTGTGATTGCCTGTGGAGTCTTCTTCATAAATTCTTTGCCTAAGCTGATATCTAGAAGAGTTTTTCCAACATTTACAACATTTTCTTCCATAATTCTTATAGTTTCATGTCTTAGGTTTAAGTCTGTTATCCACTGTGAATTAATTTTTGTGAGTGGTGAGAGGCATGGATCCTGTTCAGTGTTCTACATGTGGCAATCCAGTTTTCCCAGCACCATTTGTAGAATAGGGATTCTTTTCCCCAGTGTATGTTTTTGTCTGCTTTGTCAAAGATCAGATGTCAATATAAGGATAGTTTCACATCTGGGTTCTCAGTTCTGATCCATTAGTCTATGTCTCTGTTCTTGTGCCAGTACCATGCTTTTTTGGTTATTAGAGTCTTGTAGTATAGCTTACAGTCTGGTAAATTCATGCCTCATGAGTTGTTCTTTTTTCTTAAGATTGCTTTGGCTATGTGAGGTCTTTTCTGGTTCCACACAAAGCATGGAATTATGTTTTCCGGGTCTGCGAAAAATGATGTTGGTATTTTAATGAGGAGTGCATTGAATATGTAAATCACTTCAGGTAGTATAGACATTTTAACAATGTTGATTCTGCTGATCCATGAGCATGATATGTTTTTCCACTTGTTTACATTCTCTGTGATTTCCTTCCTCAGTGTTTTGTAATTTTCTCTGGAGAAGTCTTTCACCTCCTTGGTTATATATATTCCTAGGTATTGTATTTTCTTTGTTGCTTTTGTAAAAGGAATTGAGTCTTTGATTTGATTCTCAGCTTCACTGTTATTGGCATATAAGAATACTACTGATTTGTGTACATTATTTTATAACCTTAGACTTTGCTGAATTTATTTATCAGTTCCAGGGGTCTTTGGCAGAATCTTTGGGGTTTTCTAGCTATAAGATCATATCATCAGCAAAGAGCGATAGTTTGACCTCTTTTTTCCCCACTTGGATACCTTTGATTTCCTTCTCCTGCCTGATTGCTCTGGCTAGGACTTCCAGTACTATGTTGAATAGTGGTGAGAGTGGGCAACCTTGTCTAGTTTCAGTTCTAAGGGAGAATGCTTTCAATTTTCCCCCATTGAGTATGATGTTGATTGTGTGTTTGTCATATATAACCTTTATAATATTGAGATATGTTCCATCTATGCCTATTTTGTTAAGAGTTGTTATCACAGAAGGGTGCTGGATTTTTTCAAATGCTTTTTCTGCATCTACTGAAAATATCACATGGTCTTTGTTTTTGCTTCCACATTGATAGATTTGCATGTGTTGAACCACCTGTGCATCTCTAGGATGAAGTCCGCCTGGTCATGGTGGATTATTTTTTTTGATGTGCAGCTGAATTCAGTTTGCTGGGATTTTATTAAGAATTTTTGCACCTGTATTCATAAGGGGTATTGGTCTGTACTTTTTTTTGTTGTGTCCTTTCCTGGCTTTGGTATCAAGGTGATATTGGCTTCATAGAATGAGTTGGGGAGTATTCCTTCCTTTTTGATGTTATGGAATAATTTCTGCAGTATAGGTATAGGTACCAGACCTTTTTTGCAGGTCTGGTGAAATTCAGGTGTGAAACCATCTGGTCCAAGACTTTTTTGGTTGGAAGGTTTTTTATTGCTGCTTCAATTTCAATACTTGATATTGGTCTGTTCGGGAGTTCTATTTCTTACTGATTGAGCCTAGGGAGGATTTGTGTTTCCAAGAATTTATCTATTTCCTCAACGTTTTCAAGTTTATGTACGTAGAGATTTTCATAGTATTCAGAGACGATATTTTGTATTTCTGTGGTATCAGTTGTAATATCTCCTTTTTCATTTCTGATTCAGCTTATTAGAGTCCTTTCTTTTCTGCTTCTGGTTAATGTAGCAAGAGGCCTGTCGATTTTATCTTTTCAAAGAACCAACTGTTTGT